TTTCCTGACCGTCTGAGGAACTTATCCATTCTTGATCTTGATTTCCTTCTTGTGTACCATCTGAGGAGACTTATCACATAGTGGGGGCCTTTACTTCTAGGATATACTTGGTCCCAACCTTCTTTGGGCAGTGATTTTTTATCCATCTGTGATAGAAAGATGACTTATGATGAATCCCAGGTTCTTATGTAACCTAGTAAGGACTAGGCCATGTTATTTCAGTGTGATACCTTCCAGCAGCCATACCTAATTAAAGGAATTTTACTGGTATATAGCTTCTATTATCCAAAAGATTAGATTCCTCAATAATCCTTTTGCCTTGTAATGGTGGGAGAGTAACAGTAGTGGTGGGAATCCTCGTCGATTGTCATATTCTTTAACAACTTCTGGAAAAATGCATTCTCAACTGTAACCAAAGGGTTGGAGCTTAGCATGGACTAGTGATCCTTTAGTTTTATTGCCAAACTGGAATAAAAAGGAGACCTTGGTCTTGAACTTTGCCTAATTAGGATGATAGGAGAGAAAGACCTCAGTTTGAAAAAATAGTAGCTTTTTCATCACCTGAGGACTTGTTTCTCATATTTTATTGACCTCATGGTACTTGATCTATAGGTTAATCCAATTGGAGAAGTGGGTGAATATAGGGCACCAATCAACTTTTTCTATCACCAATGATGTCATTAAAACACATGAGGTGACTAGTAGGTACTTGTTTACATTCAGCTATTAATGTGTTTTGTATTCACCAATCATATTTTGCAATAGATTATGTCATTTAAAATTCAGGATCAAACTGAGATAAGCAAAATTCCCCAGAAAACCAAAAAATTTTGGGTGACTATAAGAGAGAAGAAATAGTAGGCAGACACTTAGAAATATGGCTTGATGTTTGCCACCTCCCATTGCAGAAAATCTCTATAGACATGTTTTAATATGAAAGGCTTCAAGTACTACACTATTAGTTCTTCTTCCTTTCAGAACTTTCTTGCTATAGGTAGAGAAGATGTTTCTTGACTTTTCTAGGTCACAGGAAGCAAAGTTTTTGTTTGAAGATGAATATAAGCAAGAGAGAGGGTTTGGGAGTGTTTCTTAAAGTAAAACTTTAAGTTGGTTTAAGAATAATGTTAAGATTTTATTAGTAAAGAAATAAAAAATTTCTTGTGAACATCTTTTTTGCGTATAGTCAGAGAATCAGCAGAAAGAGTTTTTCTTTTTTTTGTATCAGTGATGTTATTTTTATATATTTCAGATATATGTTATTTACGTATATTTGATAAGATTGTATTGCATATCTTATCTATAACTTATATTGTATATCTTCAAAAAGAATTATAATATGTTTGTTTTTATTTTTTCTTTATTAAAAATTGTTATCAATTCTTTTAAGAAATCAAGACTTTTAGTGAGAAAAATGATCTTTTAATTTGTTATTTTACCTGGGATTACACTTGTCTTAATTTTAGTTTTAGGCTTCTCTTTTTCAAATTTAATTCTTTTGTTAATGAGAGTTTTGGATTTCAATCTGTCAAATGTATTTATTGATCTCTTTTTTTTATATAAAATATTTAGCATTCTTTTTTTTAAGTTTAATTGATCTGATAAGAGTCCTTTTTATTTTTTTTTTACTTTTATTTCTATATTAAAATTATTAATTTTTACTTGTTGTATTTATTTTTTATATTGTTTACTTAAAATAAAATGTTCTTTGGATTCTCTTAATCAATGTAATTTTATTATTATTAAATTTAATAAAATTTTCTTTTTCACTTGTTTACTCCAGGATGTGTTGTCTATTGTTTTCATTTATTTTTTCTTGCTGAAATCTTGAATAATCAGTTATTTTTTCATATTGAAACTATTCATTTGTTTCTTGAGATTGTTTTCTTCTCTTAAGATTGTTTTTTCTTTGTTTTGTTTAATTTCTTTTTCATATTTCATATTTGATTCTTTGCATATGTTTCTTGTATTACCCTTTATCAAAATATTTTTGTTGTACTTAGATCTTTACACACTGTATTATTTTCTGGATTTCCCAAAAGAACTTATTTCTTTCTTTCATTTACTTTTTTTTTTTTTTTTTTTCCTAAAATTATCAAAAAAAAATTTTTTTAAGAAAAAAAAAATTTGCAAAGAAGAGTTTTTTTTTTTTTTTTTTGAAAGATAATATTTATATATATAGTACAATTAATATAATCAATTATATATAGATAAATCTCAAGAATAATTGATATATGTGATATTTACTTAATATATATAAGATATAATTGAAACAATCCATAGAATAAATCAAACAATTATACAAATAAAATATATTGTATAATTATTAAGTACTGTAAATTCATGAAATATTGAAAAATGCTTCAAGAGCTAGATATAATATAAAGATATTAAATAAAAATCATGATAGTTATATATTTTTTAATATTTTCTTCCTTTTGTTTCAACCTATTCCTTTGTAGTTTTTTATATTTCAATAGCACAATAGAATATATGATATTGATAACCTGTTAGCAAAAATATATGAATTAAAAGAATCATTATTTCTAAGATGAAACTTAATTATTACTGCTTATAACAAGTTGATTAAATTTGATTAATGCTACTCGAATAAAAATATACTTGTGTTTTCAATTGATTAATAATCTACAATTTAATCTGTTAAAAAAAAAAAAAAAAAGAATAGCTATAAAATGTAAAAAATTTTATTCATAAATATAAATCAACAAAAATTTTTTACAAACAGCATTTTTTAAAATGATACTTGATTTATATTTATTATTTTCACAGATATTATATTAAATTTCTACAAGTTATAATATGACTAATTAAATATTATCATCACATAATGTGAATCAATCACCTTTATAGAAATAACTTATTGATAAATATTTACTGCAACATATCTATTATATCTATTTATTATATTTGTTCTATATAATACTTCCAATACACACAACACACAGTATTAGATCAGGTTTTCTTTTCTTCTTCTTTTTTTTTTTTTGCGGACGTAACTTAACAAAAAAACGGCCACATGCACTTTTATTTATTTATTTTTTTTTTTTCACAAAATAAATCAAATCATGAGGACATTTGGATTTAGAGTCCCGAGTTGGCAAATTGATAATTTTCTCGTGCGTTGGTAATGTATTTTCCCGCAAACAAATACGGGTATCTACTGCGCCACAAAACCCGATGCACTACCTGTTATCAAAACAGGTGCACTGCCGAGAAAAGCCACACAATTTCAAAAAATTTTTTTTTTTGGTACCCTTAGATGCTTTGATAAATTTGATAAACGACAGTATTTGTTAATTTAGTAAGAAAAAATTGTCGACTCGTTGAGCTTCGTTCCCGACCAATTCAACATCGCATCGATATCTCACCTTTACCTGCTTTTCTTCATACCAGATCAATGTCATCCACAGACACCCTACCGTCGCAACCACTCTTTTCACAACCACTACTCTACCTCCTGATCACTCAAGCGCTTTTAACCGTCCTGATAATTGGCTACTTCCTGCATGTTCAAGGTGCTTATTTTCGGCGGAGTAGAGGCGTGATTCGCGGGTCAAACAATGTTCCGGAAAAATTTGTGCCTGATGGGGTTGACGTTAGTAAGAGAGCCAAGGAACAGAGTGATGAGACAACAGGTGCAACAAATTTGACTTCTGTGGAAGGGGACATGAGGAGGTTGGAACACAAGAAAGTAGCCCGGAAAAGTGAAGTTAATGAGAGAAAAGGAGGGGGAGATCGAAAGGGTGGTATCGGAAATGAGATCCTGGGAGAGTTGGAGAAGAGAAGAGGCTTTAAGAATCAGAACGGGGAGAACAATAATTGGACCTTTCCGGAAAGAAAGTAGGCTCGGCATGCTTGTTTTCTCATCTCTGCGTAGAATATTGTGATATCCTGGTTGAATGTATGCATTTTAATCCACTAGTATGATTCATTTTTTAAAACATCAGTAAAAAAAAAACAAAAACAAATGACAGTAAAAGATTAATATTTACATGCGCTAGCATTGATCCATCATAATTATCTTATGTAAGTGCCTCGATTTTACGTAAAAGGCATTCCTGAAAACTATCACCGCACATGGTGCTTTAGTGAAAGTTGTAGCCGCATCCAAGTTAAGAGTCATACATTTAGCTCTTTGCACAAGGAACAAAGAGACGCCCGATCGCGTCCAAATTTCGTGACTTACGGTCACATGTTCCCGTGCAACCATAGAACCCTCGCAAACTAAGCCATGTTGACGTTGATGTGGCGTGAAAGTTGTTTTCTTTTTTAATGAATTGAAAAACAACACGCCCAGCATGAGACACGCAAGCTTCTTTCTCTCACTCCAAGGAAATGATGAAAATCACTAGATCACAACTCATTTCAACGCTCCTTATTTTGTTTTCAGTGACAACCATATTGCTGGTGACCGTCACTCTGTATTCGATTTCTCAGACCCACTCTCAAGATCTCATGGAAATGATGGATGAAGGACACCTGCACGAAACAGGTGGACATCCGGAACAAGGTGAGTCCTTACCGCGAGGTTGTACGCAAGCGATCCTCCCGCTAATTATACCATGAAATTCTCTCTCTCTCTTTTTTTTTTTTTCCCTCAGATTTTGATGTATCATACACGACGTACACTATGATCCTTCTGAGCTTATACTATTCACTCATCATCTAGCCAACATATAATGCTCCCATGGCCGACCATTCGAAGTTGCGGTCTATTCATTATAATTGAAGATTAGATTTTTTGTTTTTTTTTAAAAAAAAAAAAAAGAAAAGAAAAGAAAAGAAAAGGAGTAAATAAAAATCAATTTGTTGATTACGTGCGCTTTAGAAGTTTTTTCGATAATATCATGGGTTTTTATAATTCCTTTGATTAATCATGAGCGTAGAATGCGGAAAGATTCATGCATGGTACATGGCTTAGTGCGCGTGGCTCGGCAGCGAACAACAAATTCATTTTAGAAACGGTCTTGAACTAAATTGGAATAAGTCACATAAAAGATTTCGATCAATCTATCGTAATTCCCAAACGGTGGCCATTAGAATCGTTGGAATATAATATATTTGAAATATTCTTACAACACTCGATAAGTGAGAAAATTTTTTTTTTTTAAAAAAAGAGGATATTATTAACGCAAGTGTACAGAAATGTTAATTTTATGTATGAAAATATATCTACAATGAGTAATTTTTTTTTTTTTTTCTTTTCCTATAAACCCTAATGAAATGTCGTTTTTTTTTTCTTTCTTTTTTCGACTCTAAATCTTTGCAGTTTTTTCCTTCACTTAAATAGATAGATATATATATATATATATTTTTTTTTCGACAATTAAATCTTGATTAAAATGATACCATCTTTATTCACATCACCATCTTCACTGTGCTCTGTTCTCCTTTCCATAAAAATTTGTCCCTTCTCGTTGATCGGTGTACTCGATCTATCGTATTTTTCAGAAAATATTGGTCCTTTCGGTTCGGTCGTGAATTTCTCATAGCTACCGTCGCCGGGTTGGTAAGGCGGTGGTGTAGTCGGAGGGACAAAAATTTGAGCGATAAATATTGAAAGAAAGAACAACATTGCAAACGAAATTCGGTGGCGCAAGTGTGTACGGAGGTCGAGAGGGACCCTGAGGAGGTCAAAGTTTTCGTCGCTAGTTGTTTGATTATTTATTCCGAGCTGCTGCCTAAGAAGCCGTCAACGCAGACACGGTATATGCGTGTTAGATAATTGGTGACGAAAGTCAATTCAAGCTTCATTGAACTCACGCACGCACGTATTTATACGTATGTACGCATGCAAAGTGTCTCGTAATAGATTTTGATTATCTGGCTGATATGAAGTATGTATGCACGGATGTTCGACCCTTTGGTCAATTCTTTGAGAAGTTTGAATGCGTATTGTTTTTGGAAATAAAAAAAAAAAAAAAAAAAAATTGAGGAAACTTTGATCTACGAAAAAAAAAAAAATAATTGCATCTTATATTTATTGGTTAGCCCAAAAACGAAAAAGTTTGAATAATGTTTGTTACATACAATATGTCACCACATACATGCATATGTACGAATTTTTCGACATGTACGGTACGGCACGTACGTACGTAACGTGCGTATGTTACGTAATTCGGCACACAAATACATTAATTTTGAACCTCTTCACATAACGACGATCGTGATTTTTGAAATTCCTAATAATTAAGCTTTTACTTGAGCAACAAAGGCGGTCTGTACACCCAACGATCCGTAGCCTTGTACCAGAATAACAATTGCCAAAGCGAAGCAGACGTGCAGTTATATTAAGTCATGAGGGAAATCAAGGCTGTGTTCAATAGGATTCAGGGAGATCATTTCATTCCTAAGAAATCCTTAATCCACATATCGATAGTATGATGGCATGAAAAAAAGCAGTCTCAGGGGCTTTGTTGGCTATCTCGCTGATCTCCTAATGCTAAACTCTAAACTCTTCGTACGTGAAAAGTTCTCTAGGAGGTGATGCATAAACTTGCTTTGAATCTGCCCGCGGTTTAAATCAGGTGAGGTGGAGTTTTGTTTGGCACCTTGGTACCATTACTTTTGTGGTTAAGAATTTCGAAATCTGCGTATGTAATGCTTCACGGTTGTGCCCTGTGTATGCATGCATGAATTGCAAATTTTGGTGTGAGCCGAATAATTTCCCTTTGAGCTGACCAAAAAGAAAAAGTCGTGGACCATTGCAAAATAAGTCAAGTGCGATTATTTATATGTAAGTGAACACCTCTGAAATCTTGTCCTTCTTTCTTCATGCGACTACGCTGTAAATATTTTCTTGGTAAATAAAATTGATTATCTCAGGTACAGTGTGGAGTTTGTGCCGACAGCAACGTTTCACCGTATACGTATACGAAATAGTGTTTAATAGTGTGGTACCTCCTTGATATGTACTAATTGCATTTGATGTGCCCGATATAAATTAGTACGTACGCACGCACGTTCCGAATGTGCGTGCTTTATCTCTCTCTCGATGATTATGTTGTGAGCTTTATTTCTCTCTCTCGATGATTTTCTCTCTCAGGTGAGCATCGATGCGGTAAATTAGAACCAACTATGTACTGTACATACAGTACATGGATTGGATATGCACCTCAAAAAAACCGGGGTTTCCGTCATTAAAAAATTTCATGACGTAGATCGAAGTTAATATCAGATTTTGTATTTCGTGTAACGTGCTCTTTGCCCTTGCAGGATCTTATTCTTATGACCTATTTTTTTCATCACCTTGCGGAAAATCGGTTAGTAGGGTGACAAAATCAGTTCATTAAAGAATCAGTGCACCAGGAATTTGACGTGTGTGGGTAAGTTTCCTCGGGAAGGCACCTTTCCTTAAAAAAGATGAGGCTCGGGTGGACTTTTGTCTGAAGATCGTGAGTTGTTTGTCACATGCTATCACGACGTAAAATGTAGCTAGTTGGTTTGCTTCGCGCTAGACCTGGAAAGTTCATGTATTGGAATAAAAAAGCATACGATTCGTTTTCTATTATAGTTTGCTCGATTGTTCTCGGCATTCCGAGACGTCAGAAATTTTCAAAGTCCATTCGTCCAGTCACTCATCATTCCTTATTCATTTGATTGAATCATCGAAAAGCGTATGCCGTACACACGCAGCACATTTCTTTCATGCAACTCCAGAGGGTGTCCACGTACCAATCCACCCGTGTAAAACACCTAAACCCTGATGGGTCGAGTGGCGAAGTTAACACAACTCACCACTCACTTCCTACCAAAACCCAACTTTTGAAGCCCCGCTGATGTTTGAGGCATCAACCAACCATCTACACTTCTGTCATCAAGGAGGCGCAATTAGATTCGATTTCTCACGAATGTGTCAACATCACGGTGCCTGCATTGTCGAATGCCCACAATCACAATTTGATCCGGTAGTATATTGTAAAAATTTTTTAGAAAAAGGAGGCTTCAATGAACATCTGTGTTCGGTTACAAATTTTACACGGAGAGCTCATGCAATAAATCTCACCGGAAGGAGACCTTAGGAATTATGCGACGCACGAGGACAACAAGTACCAATCTTCTTTTATATACGTATATATATATCATCCAATTTCTGCATTATTCGGTATCATGACGAATCATCAAACATTGGAGTGAATGGGATGAGGTGCGAAAAAGAATTCGGAAAAGAAAGTCATCCCATTGTTCACATGTGACGGTCTTCATCCTCCGAAAAAAAAAAAGAACTGGCGGGCTGTCAAAATTCTGTGAAACGATAACGCGCAAGACAATCAACGCCCGAACCAACCACCACTATGCGGTAGGAATCGAGTTTGAGAACGATTTAGGAAGAATTTTGAATCAATTATTTGAAAAAGGAATGATAAATCAGGCGGATTAATACTACGAGTGACTTTGAGCAATCGAATTCTGATCATGTTGTGATTCTTTAATCACCTCCTCCTCGGTCATCGTATAAACTTCCATTACCGTGATAGCTATTTTTATTTACCATTCTGTATGTATATATAAGCGTATAGACGAGGCTTCTCTTTCTAAATGTTTTTCAAAACAAAAACAAAACAAAACAAAAAAAAAAACAAAAAAAAAAAATAATAATAATATATATATATTATTATATTATTATATAAAATAAACAAAAAAAAACAATCTTTTGCTCGACGAACAAATCATTTGCTCAGTAAACAAAAAGTCCGGCGTCTTTCAAAAAAAAATCTCCTCGCTCTACATCCTAACTTACCTCAACAGAAACAACGGTCGAGATAAGCCCGTTGGATAACAAACAACGACAAAGGCTTCTACTTTTTGACGACACAACACGACCGATCCCCAATTCTCCTAAGGCTTTTTTTTTTTTTTTTTTTTTTTTTTTTCCTTACACACATCTAAGATCACCACCATTATTGAGCTTCAATTCGTTAAACTCACCTCCAAGACCGCGATGATCACAATTCGGCGAATTGTCATGCAACACCAAAGTCACCAAGAATGACGAGGCGTAAAGATGAACATAGCCCGCGACCAATTGTTCACGTCTTCAAAAAGTGAGTACAATAAGACGATGATTAACTCAATTCCAGTTCGCTTATTTTAAATTAAAATTCGTTTTTTTCACAGCATAGTTCGCCGCCTTCCCATTTTCAAGTATTCATTCATTCCCTCCCTCCCTGCCTACCTACCTACCTACCTCCCTGCCTACCTACCTCCCTGCCTACCTACCTACCTACCTACCTGCCTGCCTGCCTGCCTGCATGCAAATCGATCATCGATCTACCGCCTCCCTTTGTTTTATCTTCGTTATTTTATTTCCTTCTTTTATGAAAAAAGAAGCTCAAGATCTATACTGTACCAGTTTTACTTACGTGCTTCTAGTGTGCTCACGAGCTCACCTATTGGTCATGTAAGGGCGCAGGTGCAGTACGCACAATCAATCGTCGCAAATTGTAACCGGTATTACGCTATTCCGTACCGGCTACTTTTCTTTTTCTAAAATCTCCAAATGATTATTATGCATAGATCATTGGAGCGAAGTGCGATTTCGTTAGAATGCGCACTATAAAACGCTGTTTGCCGCGAGAAACTATTCGCGTTCACTAGAAAGGGACACTTAATAGATAGATATTCCTCTTTTAAATATCATTGCATAGAGATACTGTCAGCTAGAATCGGGTAAACTAAGTTTATATTCGGGTACTTAATAAAATTTTAGATCTCACACGTGCACAAATAAAGGGTCTCTAATTTCACGTGCATGCATTTAAAATTACGTAAATTAGAAACTATCTCAACACTTTTTGTATCTATCATATATTCGGAGTATTGCGCAAATCAAATTCGAATATTTACTCTTTTATTACAGAATAAAGTTACAAAAAGTCGTGGAAATATCGTGCCATGTACAAACATACGACTGGAAAAATAATTTCCAGTGATACAAAGATTTATAGACTTTTGTGACAAATAATGACCGTTCGCTCACCCGTTATTCCGCCGCGCCTTCGCCCAGTTTCAACTGCAGCTCAACGAATTAATTTGACTCTTACCAAGCAATGTGCCTGGACGACCGACCACCAAAGTTAAGTCCACTATCCCATCCTTCCCGCTAATTAACTTGTCCTCGATGGTGAACAGGAATAAGTCTGTGGAACCATCATCTCGGATCTTGAGCAGTCTATCAAACGATTCTTCGGACGGCTTCAAATCCACAATCTCCTCGGTATCCTTATATACCTTGAATGTATATTCATTCTCCTCTCCCTCCACAAATCCAGAGGAAAATTGTCCCGCGACGATCGTGACGTTTTTGGAGGTCTCCCAAAACACCACTACCCCCTTGGTGAGGTCCGGCGGGGTTGAAAATATAACCCACGCGCGTTTTGATTTATAATGGTGGGGTGGTGACGATGGTTTCTTATGGTTTTGGTGATTTGTGAACGCATGTTGGTGTTTATACGTTGAGGTCGAATGAGAGTCGAGGTCGAGATCGAGTATTAACAGCGGAGAGGCTGGTTCGCTGAAGGTAATTATTGGGAAGCAAAATAACAAGAAGGCACATGTCAATAGGAGAACAAGCGATATGCTATATTTGGCCATCGTGATCTTTGAGGTGTATGAACGCCAACTATTAATTCAAGGGTTGTCGCAACCTCCTTATATACCCTTTCCCCATTGACCTCGTCAACATCGTACAGACGTACGCACCCACAAATTCTCACGCACTTATTAATTGATGTCTCACCATTTTCGTCACCACAACTTGCGCGTTTTTTTTTTTCCTCAAATCTGATTTTTTCCAAATACGAGCGTTGGATTCATGGCGATATATGTCTTTCGTGTATACGTAAGCAACCTTAATTGGTAAAAGTTAAAACGCCACCCAACCGATGTAGAAAACAAAGTGATCAGCGTCAACACTTTTGGGAACCTCGTGAGAAATGCTCAATACCTTTTTTCGTCGATATGATGCGGAATTCATCATGGAAGTGCCCAGGTCCGTTGCGACAATGATCGATCTGGACGCCTGTAGATAACCAAAGAAAAAAAAAAGATGTGCGTAGCCGGTATTGCGTACGTAAGTGCGGTACGTATGCCACTTATCTTTAATTGATCATTTATGATCAAAGAGATAATGATGGGCGTTTTTTGCGCAATACATATGTTGTCATCTTGAATAAACGCACTCTTTGTTATGCAGAGTACATTCGTAACCGGCAGAAACTATTCGAGTACATCATGGATCGTATGACAAATGGGGTATTCCAGGGGAAAGGTTGGGCTCGTCCGCCTTCTGGCATTTCTTTTTTTTTTTGTTTTTCATTCTTTTTTCCATTGCAACATAAAATTCATTTCTTATTGGATTAAATATTTATTTGTTTATTTATTTACAACCGTATTTATTGTATATGTTTTTTATTTAATAAAAAAAAATTTTTTTTTTTTTTGTTTTGATGATTCTGGTTTCTTGAACAAGGGGATTTAAAAAAATTTTTGTAGCTTTTTAAAAAAAAAATAAACAGCATGAATCTCTTTTCTTTTTATATACAAGGATAAAAATCGATTTCAATTTTATCATTTCTTTTTTTTTATCGTATTTTATATCAATATTTTTCGTAAAGATTTTTTTTATTTTTTCTATTTACTTTTTTTTTTTTTTTTTACCATGTCCAAAGATCCAAGCGCTGAAAAGATTGAGTGCTCTCGATCAAATCAATCACGGAATTTTCTCACCAAAAGCATCAGATCATCCATTGTAATGCCTTAACGTGAATCATGGAGAGTCTACCATGCCACTCCACTAATCATCATCCCGCCGCGGTTTGGTCACGACGAAGCGGAGCCAATCAGTTAAGGTGATTATTGAAACGCGCTAAGGATAAATGAGAGGTCCGGGAGCCGTGAAAGAAAAAAATCAAAAGATAAATTGAATGATCATGGGGAGACAGGGTTTGGTCGAGCATAATGTTATGTTATTAGAGTAAGGAAATAGTTTTCTAAATTAGAGTGAGAGTCAATTAAGTTGAAAATTATTAACTATAAAAATCAAAGAATACCCTGGCCTCTCCGATTATTAAATCCACTATCCTATTACTGCCTTTTTTTTTTTTCTTTCTCCTCGTTACCTGGTAATAATCACTCCCGTTAAGCCTTTGAAAGGAAGATGCAAACGTCAAATGATGCAATCTCCAAGGAATTCGTTTTGATCTCGAATAATTGCAACTTGACAAGGAAAAATTCTACCAAAGTATAGTATCACCTACGTGTTCTATTTTTAACTACTATACAATCCGATTGTACTGCACGTGCGTATTCCTCACTACCTGCGCTAACCAAGATTGGTTAAACTAGATCGATCCTTCTCCTTTAAAACGACATTCTAATCAGCAAGATCAACCACTTTCACCAAATAATTCTCACGAAAACTACTTTTACTGTACTGAACCGGGTTGCAACAAGAGATATAAATTCTCTTCCGGACTCCGAAAACATCGTCGTATCAAACACTTTACTCACATAAACGCGTCTCTCTCCTCTCCTTACTGCTCGGATCCTTCCGACCTCTCGGATAAACAAAAACTATTTATCTGCACCAACCCACGATGTCATAAAAGCTTCCATCAGAAACGCAATTTGACGCAACACCAGAAGACTCACAAATACGTTTGTGGTCATGCAGGGTGCAGTAAAACTTTTGCGATGCAACACCACCTGAGCGTGCACGAACGAGTGGTACACCTGGGCGAGTGTTTATTCGGATGCGGTGTGCCAGGGTGCAATAAGAGATTTGCGTGTAAAAGTAGTCTTAGGCGGCATCGAAATACCCATGGTTAAACTATATGAGAGAAAATGGCAAATGAAAAGTAAAAATATCACCAGTAAGTGATGCAGTAATTCTTCGTAAATGCGCGCACTTATAAAGTCATCGAACTCTCTCTCTCTCTCCTTTTTATTTAAAAGCATTTATACTTGTTTAAATAGCATTGGTTATCTAACTGACCAAACCACAGTATAGTAAATAGCTTATTTTATTATCAATCGATCAAAAATCTATACGTCACACCCGGTTTGCATATAACGCATGCCCTATTTTGTTACGTTTGAAAAAATAAATAGAATCAATATGTTAAGGTATATTAACATTTGAACTTACTTAAAAAAAAAAAAAAACCAAAATATAATGTAAAATATATAAAACAATTCAAATAGGATTGTTTATATTTAAAAAGAAAATTAAAATAAAAACTTTGAAATTTTTATGACAAAAATGTTGCTTGAATTAAAACATGGTGAAATTTTCATATACTGTATGTATCCCCCTTGGGAGCAAGTTGAAGCATGCACATGGAGAGGGATGCATATATAGAGAATTGATGTTTTATTGAGTAACATTGTTATTATTTTTTTTTTTTGACGGGCTCATGCCTAACTTTATTGTTTTCCAAATTATATACAGTATATACATTGCATAAAGTGTACGTACAGGAGTGTATATTCAGTGACTATAAAAATAATGATAAGCTAAAGCTATTTCTAAAGCTACATCAAGGCTTATTGCTCTTTCTTTTACAAAAAAAAAATCAGCATCCCTAGAGCATGCTGGTGTTTGAAAATAATAATAAAATAAAAAATAAAATTAAATGGTTATGTGTCATTTTGGGTAGGTATCAGTTTTGTTTCTTGGCCCATGCCTGTCTTATTTTAAACTCCCTTGTAGGAAGGTCTAGGGAAAGATATTTCTACCGAGTCTTTTATGGAAATAAGTTGGAGGCCATTAAGAAGATTTTATAGTTTTAAGGCTTGTAGGGAGGGAGTAATTAGGAAGGCTCAGGTGATATATTGGTGTTCACATGAGTGACTTGAAAGTTTTCCAGTATATCATTAATTAAACCTATTCCTATCTAAATATAGAAATACTTACCTATTTGTGCCTCTTATTTTAGATTTAATTCCTTATAGAAAGGACAGCATCTAGCCTTGTGGTAGATATACCCTACTAGTAACTGTTGGTATTAACAATCAATGAGGATCTCCCAGATTATCCGATCAGCTCACATATCACTGCTAACATTTTTGGACTTGAGTTTCGATTGGTGAAGTGGCATTAACCTTCCAATCTTTTAGTTTGTAATTTTTTGAAGATAGGACAAAAAATTCCTGGATTACTTTGCATACGAGCTTTATCACTGAGTATCCTTGATAGTTTCCTGCTTTCTCTGGTTTAAACTTTTCTGAGCAGTAAAGGTTAGGAAACCTACCTGACATACAATCAGAAAATAGGTGGTTCTGACTTGAAAAAAGACCAATCAAGCATCTTGTGACCTTTACCATAATCAGATAGACCCTTTCCTTGTATTCAATGATGTATCGATGACATGTCCTGTATACATCCACATCAATACATATGATTTATGATGGACCCCAGGTTCTTATGGAGCTAAGGAAATGCATGCAGACATATGAGGTGGCCAATAGGAGCTTGTTTATCAATCTTTTCCAACGTGTTTTGTGTCATCCAATCAGAATTAATGAGATTCATACTACTCAAAATTTCAGGGTCAAGCTGAGCTAGGCAAAATTTCCAGAAAGTCATGAAAAAAGTAGCTCTAAGAGATCACAATTCCAGTTGAAGAGTAGAAAAATGAGTCCTTTGACTAGAATAAAACCTCTATTATCTCCATTATAGTTGAGAGATGAGATATACTCTACAGTTGGTCTTTTTCTCTTTAAGAACTTTTTTGCTATTGGTAGTAAAGATGAGAGCTGAACTTTGCAGATTACAAGAGTTCAATTTTATTCAAAAAAGATTGTAAACAAGAGGGAAGGGAAGTAAGGGAGTTTTGAAAAAACTTTTGAGTTGATTTAAAGAAAGTAATAAGACTTTATTAGCAAGGAAGTATAAAAACTTCTTGCGAACATCTTTTTTGTGTATAGTCAGAGGATCAGCAGAAAAAGAGTATATTGACTATTGTGCTGATTAATATTATTTGTTTGTATTTATTAATTTAAATCATTAATATATTTAAATAATCTTTTAGAATTCTCTTGATATTGTAAAAAAGAATAAAGTAATTTTAAATTTTTTATAACATCATTAATACTAATGATTGTTTTTTTTTTAAATACTAGTTCATTTCTGTATTAGTTCAAAAACTTTATTATAATCAAAATGAGTCTTAAGAACAACTGGGATAAATAATTATTCATACTATCTAAGGATTTATAGATCAATAATAGTACAATGAACATCTATTTATGTTTCACTCAAATCTAGCAGCTACAACACTAACTCTAGCAAAAAGTATACAAGTTACTTTCTAAAGTTGAAGAAAAAAAAACATATTTGATTATCAGTGAGGTATCTTATCAATCAAATTTATACTGCAAGGGGATAGAGAATACAGAAAAACCATTTCATTACTATGAAAATACAAGATCATGTTTCTTGATCAGCTCATCAATACTACCACAATGACACTTAAGGAATGAAGAGCAGTTCAAATCCTCTATAGCAGATGCAAGGGATCAGTTCCTCCTGATACAAAAAAGTGAAGAAAAAAA